TGGCCTTGAACACTGCCAGGGATGGAGCATTTACCACTTCTTTGAGCAACCCATTCCAGTGCCTCAGCACCCTCACAGTAAAGAACTTCCTCCTTATGTCTAACCTGAACTTCCCCTGTGTAAGTTTAAACCTATTACCCCTTGTCTTATTACTACAGTCCCTAATGAAGAGTGCCTCTGCAGCATCCTTGCATGCCCCCTTCAGATACTGGAAGGCTGCTATGAGGTCTCCATGCAGCCTCCTCTTCTCCAGGCTGAACAACCCCAACTTTCTCATCCTGGCTCAAGCTGAGACAGGCTGAGAATGAGACAGGATGCTCAAGCTCCCTTATCATCCTCGTGGCCCTCTTCTGGACTTGCTCCAACAGTTCTGTGTCCTTATGTTGAGTACTCCAAATGAGGTCTCACAGAAGCAGAGTAGAGGGGCAGGATCACCTCCTTCGACCTGCTTGTCATGCTTCTTTTGATGCAGCCCAGGGTACAGTTGGTGTCTGGGCTGCGAGCGCACACTGAAGCCAGCTCATGTTCCACGGATCCCCTCCTTGCCCCTTCTGGGCACGCTTCTTTTGATGCAGCCCAGGATACGGTTGTCCTTCTGGGCTGCGAGCGCACACTGAAGCCAGCTCATGTTCAGTTTCTCATCAACCAGCACCCCCAAGTCCTTCTCCGCAGGGCTGCTCTGAGTCTTGTCTCCGCCCAACCTGTAGCTGTGCCTGGAATTGCCCTGACCCAGGTTTGGGGTCAGGGCAATTGCACTTGGCTTGGCTGAACTTCATGAGGTTGCCATTGGCCCACCTCTCAAGACTTGAGCAGCATGGCTAGAGCACTTGCCAGTGAAGACTGAGACAAAGAAGTCATTGAGAACCTCAGCCTTCTCCAAATCAAGCATAGCCAGTTCTCCTGTTCACTAACTTGCCTCCAGCAACACTCAGCCAGTCCCTCACCCAGTCTGAAATAACATTCCTCAGCCTTACCATTCCCTCTGTACCCACCACTGCTGCTTCACCCAACCTGTTTCCCTCCACTGGGGCTGGTTGCTGGTGGTACCAACCTTTGCTGCCTGTAGTGGGTGGCTGCTGGCCACTGTGGTGCTCTCCAGCCTGCCTGTGTCTGTGGTGGTCGTGCAGGACGGGCACAGCAGCAGCCCCCTACAACCATGACAGGTGACAGAGACCATCAGAGTAGCCTCTCCCTTCCCAGCCATGGGGGGATTTAAGGCTAGGATATGTGGAACGATGACAGGAGACTCACCTGGGGTCCCTGCTGGGTGCAGAGCAGTGTCGGGGTGTGGGGATCTGGGTGAAGCAGCGGCTGCAAACACTCCCATCACCTCCACTGCACTGGGGTCCACAGGTCTCCTCCCCCAGGGTGCTGGGGGTTCGCTCCACAGCTGCATTCACCTCCTGCAGCCTGCTTGACTCAGCCACAGTCGCCACACAGGAGCCGCACTGCCATGTCCCACTGCACAGCCGGAGCAAGGCGGTGAGGGACAGCTGGGGGGGCACCGGTGTCCCGATGGCACCCTGGGGCTCACCTGGGGACGCGGGGCAGTGGGGGCACCAGGCAGGCGAGGTGGAAGGCCCTGGGGCAGCCATCACAGCAGATGAGCTCACCACCATCACCGCACACCGCACACTCATCCTCGTTCTCCTGCCCCGGGGGAGTGGGCAAGGGGTCACCACCACCCAGCAGGCTGCAGCCATGGCGGGGCTCATGCTGGCGAGGGACCCCAGAGTCTGTCATCCCCATCACCCTCTCCCCGGCGCCAAAAGCACCAACTCCAGTCAGGGTGAGAATTGCCTGTTTCTGGCAGCTAAGCCCCAGGTTGCCTGTGCTCAGCCGAGCAAAGAGACGTGCAAGGGATGCTCCAATGGTCCCTGTTTCACCAGGTGCCTCTCAGGGGTGCACAGGGGCCATGCCTGGGGCTCACCTGGTCGGGCACAGCATCCTGGCTGTGCACGGTGGGTGTCAGCAGCTGGTGGGTGTCAGCACCCTGGGAGTGGACTCGGAGCTCCCCACTCTGCGGGCAAGACAAAAAAGGGGTTGTGGGGAGCTGCTGGGACAGCCTGGCATGTGGGGACACCCCCAGGCCATAGCTGTGCTGCCAGGCAGGGACAACCCCCTGCCACAGCCTCGGGCAGCTGCAGAAGCGGGGTGTGAAAGCAGGGGGGTCTGTACACTTTGGGATGCCTTGGGCCAGGGAGGGGGCCTCAGGCTGCGGCTTCTGCTCCTGGCACCCGGCTCCTCACAGGCAGCTGCAGCATACAGCTCATCCCCAGCTTTGCTGCCCATCTTGGAGCTGCCTGCAAGAGAGGCCAAGACCAGTGCTCTGACACCCTCCTGGGGTGCCCTCCTGGGGGCAGCTTCTGGATTTGATGGGCTAAACTGGGCAGGAGGTTAGCTGGTCCTACCTGGTTCCAGTGGGTGTTTGATGAGGATGCCCTCGACAGCACCTTGAGCGACATGCACCTCACTGCCTGCCCCAGCCCCC